TGAAATTGGTGTATCTCTGGTGTTCGAGGGTACCAAGTTTGCGCAGGAGCAGGCGGACCTTCCACGCGTCGTCCTGGCAAGCCAAGTCAACGGTGAACAGGTCCTCGTATCGCTTGTACCAGGATTCGAATGTTACCCCGGCCTTGGCGTCGTACAGAAATTCGCTGATGCCGCTAACCACCTGGTCCACTGACTGAGAATTGGCGCTCGGACCTGCATGAAGGGAAGAACTGGAAAGCTTTTCGGTTAGCGCGGACATCAATTTAAGCTGTTGCTGCAGCATCAATTTTAAATCGGCATATTCGTCGGTCATGGTTCACCAACTCTGTCGCCACTGTTATAGATTTCGTAGATTGCCTTAGTCGTCGCCGCTGTTATAATTGAGTCGCCACTGTTATGATTGAGGGAACGCCGCCTCTTGAGATAATTGCGTAATCGCCTGATAAGAGGGTCGCTGGCACGCCTACGATAATAGCTTGTTACGCTGACCACTCGAACGGAGTTGCGCTGACCTGATGACGCTAGCTTAGCCGGGTGAGACGGAAAATTGAGCGAGCGTGTGACCGATCTTAGCCGCAAGTGTTCGGATAGACGCTGACCCCTCGGAATGGGCGCACACGAGAGGGGGGTACGATAGACGCGCGCTAATGACTTAGACGCGAAGGCTGGCCAGCTAACGATGCACACGCAATCACGCGATCCGACCGACTCCCAACTGAGGCGAAGAGAAAGAAAAGACAAGTGGTCCTCTGTAGGCTCTTTTACGACCAACAAAGGGCAATCACAGATAGTGCTATAGGTTATTAAGTTAGGGAAAGCAGTCACCACGCAGAGGTGATAGTTTGCGAATGAGCATTGTCAAAAGGTGTGCAGTTGGGGCCGCGTCTCGGAGTGGCTGAACACTGCTGCGTTGTGGGGAGAAATTGGACTCCGCTTCCCACAGCCATTATGCCGGAGTTACTGGCGTGTTTTTGCGGGGATTTTTGACGGGCCCGCAACAGCTGACATGCGGATGCGTTTTGGCGGACGCCCACGATGATGTTGTGAGCGCATTGACACCAGCCAACTGATGAAGCCAGCTGTTCTGAATGCCTATCAAAGTACGATGACATGCGAGTTGAGTAAGCGCTCACTGGAGACAATTGATGGTCACTGGTCGCATGTTCACCAGACCTTACTTGCAGCAGGAAAATCCTCATGTGGTCAGTCTAATCGCCAACATGGACATTGGGTCTCTTCGCCGTCTCTGGGACTTATCGATGCTCGCCGGCATATTCCGGCTGGAAGCGAGCACAATGAAACACGCAAAGAGCTCCGGTCAAAACTCCGTGCTAGCCTGAAGAGAGACCGCGAGTCTTGATGCTCACTTCGTACGTCTGAGATGGAAGCGACCGCTGCCTTTGGTAACCATCGAAAGTTATTCCATGTGATACGGGAAACAGGCAGCAGGAGACCTGGTGTTAGTGAAACAATTTGTGATGAGAGTGGACAGCCTATCCACAATTTGTCAAAACGGTTGGAGCGTTGGTCTGAGCATTTTGAAAGGCAATTTAATCGGCCGTAATTGTTCGATTTCTCACCAGCAGGTGATCGCCCTGCTCCGTGGGCTGTCCCTTTGGATCTACCCTCTCGCTCAGAAGTCGAACGTGAGATCGGACTGTTGAAGTTGAGCAAAGCCGCGGAATCAGATGATCTTCCTCCAGCCCTCTTCAAATTCGGGGACCCTGCTCTTGTTGATGTTTTGCACGAATTAATAGTGAAACTGTGGGAGCAGGAAACTGTCCCAACCGACTGGAACCGCTCCGTTACTGTTCCTATCTTCAAGGGAGGCTCGCGTTCACTATGCGGTAACCATAGAGGAATCAGTCTGCTCTTCATCGCCTCGCAATTACTTGCCTCCATAATTCTTCACAGACTGACTGGCACTCGTGAAAGCCAGATTCGTGAGGAGAAAGCCGGGTTTCGTCGTGGTCGTGGCTGCATCGACCACATCTTTACCTTATATCTGTTGTTGGAGCACCGTCACACATATTGGCGGCCCACCGTAGTCGTGTTTTTCGACATCAAAAGTGCCTTCGATTCGGTTGATCGATGTGCCATTTGGAACTGTCTACTCAGGAGAGGTGTGCCTGAGAAATATGTAAATATTATCCGAGCATTATATACGCGTAGCACGGGCAGAGTGAGGGCTTACGGCAACCTGTCGCCGCCCTTCAATATCTCGTGGTGTGAGACAAGGATGCCCGCTGTCACCTTTTCAACTTCACTATTGACGAAGTCATGGAGACTGCATTTATAGGACAAGACTTAGAGGGGGTGTAGCTACTTGCGGGAGAACGACTTCTTGACTTGGAGTATGCTGGCGACGTTACCCTCATCTGTGACAGCTTCCAGACGTGCCAAGCTGCACTGGACAGATTAGAACTGGCTGTCAGTCGCTTCGGGCTTTGCTTTGCACCAAGATTGGCAGGGATCGCCTCCTGCGCTGACTCTTAGTGGGGATCAGCTTGAAGTCGTTCAGAAATTCAACTACCTGGGAACTTGTATCAGCGCCCTTGGGATTGAAGATGAGATCACGAACCGCATCTTAAAAGCTCGGGGTGCTTTTGCTAACCTTGGCCACCTATGGCGGCGGTGTGACATTACTCTCGCCCTGAAAGGTAGAGTGTACAATGCAGCGGTACGTTCGACCTTACTGTACGGTTGCGAAATCTGGTCCCTTAGATCAGCGGACATAAAGAGGGTAGTTACGTTCGATCATCGGTGCCTTCCCGGTTTGGCTCACATCCGGTGGGAACACCGCGTGAGCAACATGCGTGTTCGACGCCTTGTTTACTGCACAGGAAAAGAAACTGAACCGCTCAGCACCGTCATTTCACGCACCAGGCTCCGTTGGCTCGGCCACGTGTTGCGCCTACCAGCCCACAGACTCTCGCTACGTGCGTTGTTTGTGCGCCGCGGGTGTGAATGTAAGAAGCGGAGGGGTGACCAAGCGATGGCTTGCTCGAGAGAAATATGGGCCCTCACTTCGGAGCGGGCCTCGGTTGGAGCTTCATGGCTTCTTGGTTGGGGTCCAAAATACGATGAACACGTTTGACTAGATACACTGGATGACATGGCTAGGGGCCGACCTCAGTGGCGTTCGTGCTGTGAGTTTCTTTGTCCCTCCCCCTCCAACCACGATCTCATTTCGTAGCGTAATATAATTTTACATAATAATTTTTCTAGTTGCCGGCTGGTAGCTCACCGGAACGATGTCTATCCGTTGCTGGTAGCTCAGCTGGCATGCAACTGTTGTATTTACTTTCTTTTTGTTGTGTATTGCGGCACAGTAGCTGGGTTTTCCACCTCCAGCTAACGTGTATAATGATGATGATAATGATGGCGCCCATAAGTTAATCAATGTTTCTTCCTTTTGTATTGGAGCAGTCAGTCTTTCACGAGGCTTGCCAATAACGAGATTGAAATCCTTGTTACTCAACCGGTTTAGTTGGCTATCATCCACTCTTCGATCCTTCATTCTGGTGATAATTAGGCTGCTACTTGTACTGCGTCCCATATGATGTGGTTTATTTACAGCTTCTATGCGGTCTTAACGACCGACATGTTTGTGCAATTATTCTCCAATTTCGTGCGTTACCTCTTACCATACTGTGTTAAGGCTTGCCCTTCATGTCTTATCCGAGATGGAATCGAACTGAAGATATTTTTGCCAGTTGGTACTTGGTTGTTGTTAGAGTTCCGAGAGATAGCGTTTTTCCAACCGCCGTTTGGTCTACCGGTGGCTGATTGATATTATGCGTCTGCCTCCGCAGGTCGCAGTTCCGAATCTGCTTAGGTGCGGGTGATCTCGCAGTGCTCGAGCGGCAAAGAAGCGTTTGTGCGAACTATCAGCGTACTGCTGATACCCTTATTTTCGTTGGACTCAAGGGATCTTGGTCTTCCTTGGCTGTATTTTGTCAGGTCGTTCCGGATTTGTCTTCCTATTTAGTCCTGTTAAGTTTTGCAGTCTGTTCAGTTACTCATTGAGGCTTCATAATCCGTGCTTTGACCAGATTTGGAAAGCCATTTATCACTCCGCGTTATTAAACGCTAAACCTCGCCTTCAGGGAGTTTACGACTTGGGCTTTTAAATACCAATTAGACACTTTTGTGCAGCAATAGCAAACCTTCACCTAACCGACTCCTGTCTACAGCTTTCATTTTTCTATTCGTTAAGGCGGAGAGAAGACAGAGGTTGCGATATGTCAACATTTCGATTGTTCTGTTCAGTCGCAAACACACTACAATCAGAACACACAAACGATTATCTACATGGCAAAGAATTAGCAACACCAATCAAAATGTCACAGTCAAGACCATGGCAACTGAATTGATTGCCTCAAGATTTTCTATGCACATAACAGGTTGATGGGCCTTAATTAACAGTGTCTCATTCATATACTCGTTTGTGTGTTCTGCTCCTATTGTGTTTGCGACTGAAGAGAACAATCGGAATGTTGACATATCGCAACCTCTGTCTTCTCTCTGCCTTAACGAAATGGCTGAAGGGGACCCACTGTTTTACTTTTCTATTCTGTAGTTTTTCTCGTACCTTAGCACTGTTCTTAGTTACCTGACGTTCCTCTTCATACCTACAGGCGTTGTTACATATTTTTACTTGCTTCACATAACCGGCCCAGCAGGGATGATCTAGTGCGGGATACGTGGCTTCGTAGTTATTTAATTAAGCTAAACTTGTCAGAGTATCAGTTGGGTGCTTTTTTAGTTTCGTCAACATTTTGGATCACCCTGTCAACAGTCCACTGAAGAGCAAACACACGTGATTTTCTCCTGTCTCTCTGGTTCTATTTCAACTTGAAATTATACCACTCTTAGCTCATTGACGCACCTTAACTGTTTGCGATCCGTCGACGCAAACCAAGTCCAAACCCTCTGCTATACTATGTCTATCTACGCTCCATTCCAACTCACGAGTACACGTACCTTATCATTTTTCAGCCCATTATATCTATTTCACATTACAATGGACCTCGGCGAACCCCAACCAGTAGACCCAAAGCAAGCTGAGCTGGAGCAGAAGCGCATGGATATTGCTTGCTTCAAGCGGAATTTAGAAGTCAATCGCATGCCACTGAGCAAGACTATAGAGGCCATAAGTAACTATTGCTTTGAAAACGCTCACTCGGATCCCCTGCTCTCTCCTCCAAAAGATAATCCTTATAAATCAAGCCGTTCTTGTGTCGCCTTTTAGCTGAACTTAACTACCCTTCCTATGCTTATTACTGACAAATTTGTCCAACTTCAGCCACATGTGTATGTTGAGACATTTGAATATCTCTGTTCGTGCCGACGACCCATGGTATTGTTATCATCTTTGAACAGCTCTGTTGCATTGGAGTGTGCTTCCTTTTCCCCTAACTTTGTTTCAATCTGTGTCCATGTGTTATCGATATCTCTGACGATTCAACACTACAAATGGCTTTCTTAGCTGTAGTTCTCTCTTTTGGCTTGGATTCCATCTATGGTATCTCCGATTGTCATCTTCCAATGGGCTTACTAGTGGCGATCGTTTAGTAGCTTGGCCACTGTCTTTCGCCTGTTCACTCTACGGCTACTTCGGGTTTTACTTGTTATATTTTACATTTTGTTCAGCTCATTATCAACAGTTTGCGTCAAGACTTTACTCCCCAACTCGTATGCGAACGGTCTGTTTTAACGATGTTACCATGTCACTCGACTGCCGTTTTGCTTTCCGTAACTAATGTGATTACATTGGTGTGTCCTTGAGGCGCCATTACCCTCTTTGTCTTATTTGTGGATCACAATCCTCTGTTTATTATTGTTATCTCAATCTAGGAGAATCTGGAGCATTCGCAACCTCGTCACCTGGAAACTTGGCATATCAGCGATGATGCCGAGTCAAGCGGCCTTTGCTTTTTGTCCTTTCTTCGATGAGTACCATTTATACGGGTCATCGGTCAGAAACATATGCATTCTCCTCCGGGGCGCATTTGGCTGTCAGGCTGCAGAGATAAGTACCGCAGTTTATGTGGAGGGATCATAGTCACCAGAAATCAGAACCATCTTGGTACATTAGGACACTTTCCTTCTAGCTTGAAACAATTCTGCTTTTCACTACCTAGTGAAACACTGTTTCGGTTTTCCTCTCTAATAGTTTCATGTCTTCTCCAACCGGTTCTGCTTTTTTCCTCACCTAGAACTTGGTGCTCCACAGCTCCCCATTCGTTTTCATTTGCATCGATTTCGCGACTACCTCGTTGGAATGCGTTCATTCACACTTGCTCTGTGCCAAGCAGCTGATGCGGTATATGCTGGTGTACAGTCGGTCAATGTATGTTTAGTTTTGGCCATTATTGACATTTAAATCAGCTACTTCATCATGCTCACTCTCCATCACTTCATCAAGTCCTCGTGCCGTGCCGAGAAGCTATTCGGAAAGCCCTAGCTCGTGAGGCTAGCCACTGTCCTCTGCGCTGTCCGTAACTGGTATGGCCGTGAAATATCAGCCGGGCTATATCATTGTCAATCACGCAAGTTCGCGGCTGGCGTCCATGGCGGAGGGACACTAGCGGCTGGCATTCAGAAGTCATGGGGGCGGAACCCGGCAGGGCTCCGCTGGGAGGCGCGCCACTGGGGAGACCCAGAAGGTCGAAACGCCGGCGTCTGGTGCTTTTCCAGACTAGCCTAAGCCTCCTGATGGAGAGTGACCATGATGAAGCACCTGACTTGCCGAACAACCTCATGGTGCCAGCTGGGCAGTTCGGGATTTTCCCGTTCCAGCAAATGGTTCGACGGCACTGTTCCAGGACGTAGTGGGTTTTCTTCTGGCAAGCGTTATCCCTATGTCCGTTTAACAACACTGACTCTTCACGATGCCTGCTGATTCTACATGAGTCTTGAAGCCGAACCGCACACCTACGGCTGCCGATTGGATACCAGTCGAGTAATGCAGCCTCCGGTTTGTCACTCAATGCGATACTGACACCAGCTAAGCCGGCTGCGGCTGCATCTATTTCACTAGACAGACATAGGTACTATGTGGTCTCAAAAGCAGCTGGGGACGACAAATTAACCACGGTGCTGGGATCCTACAATCGAGTCTCTGAAAGACAACAAACATCGATGGCAAGGGACTCTAGATTGCGCGCCAGGCCAGTCTGTTGTCCAATCTGTAGGAGGATCCGATCATTGAATGCTGTCAGACTGAATGAAGTATGGGATCGAGGGATAGCTGAAGACCGCATGATTTGGATAACAGCGAGACGGGCATTGGAAGTAGATTTAACATGTTATAGGTTATAAAAAAAGAAAAGTTGGCGTGTAATGCAGAAGCTCGAGTAGCAGGGAAAGTAGCAGCAGCAGTCAGCGACGTAGTAGTAATTGCGAAATCCATGGTTTTCACAGAGCGCAAGATACTACCCGGTTTCCCAGGCCGAAATAGAGAGTTGCCTTACGGGACTCCACTCTGAGCCTTTGGCTCAATGACCTACCCGAAGGCAGCTAAGCGAAGTCAGGGCTTCTCACCCATTGGGAGCCGATGACTGATTGCTCAGTACTTGTGCCTTTCGTTTGGCGGGTAGCATGTGAATGGGAGCCACGTTTCACCAACGGAGCCGGCCCCCACTCCTTCACAGGCAAAAACAAGCACGCTGTACTTGGGAATCAATCGCACACAAGGCGGTGGCTGGACCGTAGTCCGCTTCACACAGGTTGCGTCTAACCACTCTTCGACCCTAGCACGGCCAAAAGGACCGTGCACCCCATCCCCTCCCGCAGCGATAACTGTCTCCTAGAGCCAATATGGATGAGATAGTATGTAGTAAACAGGTAGGTACCTTGTCAACATGCACATCAAGCGCAGCTACACCGGGGATATCAACAAACAGCCTATCACTTGAAACGACGATATTAACTAAAGGAAATCGAATAATGCATACTGAACTGCTGACATTGCTGTTCAATAAATGAGCCTATGAAATAAATTGGTTGCCAACAAATCCGCGATTGATTCAAGATATCTAAATATATTTTAAGAAAATGCAACCAACGCGAAAGTGTTATTGTTGGTAACCGCAATTTGCTTGCGCCAAGTGTGCAACATAGTAGGTAGTTCAGATAGACATTCATATGGGATAAAAAGCACTAGGACAATATATCAAACATACCACCTTAAATAAAGAGACCCAGCATGCAAACACGTGGTTAGTACATCAAATGCAGCGTACCTGCCAACACTCGCCTGTTCTGCCAACCTTCACAGCAATGCTCGTCGTCGTTTTGATGGTGGCTTCGCTCACGGCTCACTACGCCTGTCTGACTCATGCACTCGCGACCGCAAGTGCTACAGCACGATGCGCTTGATGTCGATCTAGTACAATCCATCGGCGCCGGCCGCTTCCGCACTTGCCGCTTTTTCTGTGTATGCATAGGTATTTCTCCTGCACCACGGCAACTGCCTTCGTGATCAGATCGCGCCATTCACGCCGATCAACCACTTTCGATTCCCATGTCCTGCATTCTGAATTAGAACCGTATGCTCACTTTGCTCATGTCCTGTTAACGAAGCTTCGGTTCCCGCACATGGCGAGTCCCCAAACTCATCTGACCCTATAATAGCTGCTTCGGTATCCGCGTCGAATTCATACGCCACACTTGACCGAGCCACCTACATCAGATGTGTCAGCAAAAGTATGCAGTGCACTGTCTACATTTCACTTCGACGCAACAATTCCTGTCTACAATTCTGTCGCACCAACCGATGCGCAGAATCTGTCGCAAACACTGTTGATGGAACCGTTCGGGAAATCGCACATCCAGCCGGTATATCGTCCACGTTTCACTGCCGTATAGAAGAACAGACAGCACCATGGATTTGTACACCATCAGCTTTGTGCAAACGGTAAGTTGATGGTTGTTCCACATCCGGTGCTCTAGCTTCCCGGATGCCGCCGCTGCATTCGATATGCGGATAAGAAGCTCACTGTGCAGTTGCTGGTCAGTAGCAACCACACTCACAAGGTAGCAAGAGTGGGTGGTAAAAACCGATATGCTGATTCGCGGCAAAATGGTAAATTGCACTTCCATAGAAGCCTAAAACAGAAACAGATTTGCTTGTGTTGATAGCGAGCCCGAATTTGGCCGCTGTCGAAGCCAGAGCACTAGTCATATGCTGCAACTCATCCGCGCTGTGTGCAAACAACGCACAGTCGTCAGCAAACAGCAACATACGGATAGTTGTCTCACAGACTAGAGTTCTCGCACCGAAACGACGGATGTTCAGCAACCCACCATCAATACGATGACCCACACGAACACCGTAAGCACAAGCGACATCAAAAGCACAGGACAACATTACATTAAGGTATATATTAAACAGGGCATGAGCTAAGACACAGCCTTGCTTCACACCAGAGACAACTGCAAAGTCATCCGAGGTCTCCACTCAGCTGCACCCTCGCTCGCATACCACTGTGCAGACATTCAATTAAACTTACAAACTTACGCCGACAACCAAACTTACCCAACACCAGCCACAATGCCTCGCGGTTCCCCGTATCAAATGGTTTGGTGAAATCAACAAAAAGCGAGTACAATGGCTGGTGTCGTTCTCTGCACTTTTCTTGCAACTGACGAGCCGCAAACACCATATCTATAGTGCTGCGACCCGAACGGAATTCACATCGCTGTTACGCCACGTTCGGTTCCACAACCTGACTGACGACGCGGTTAAGCAGGATTCGGGTAATCATCTTGTCCACACAACTCAGCAAGTTGATGCCATGATAATTCGTGCAACATTGCTTTCTACCTTTGCCCTCGTACAGTGGTAGCACAAGGGCATCCTTCAGCTCAGGCGGCACCTCCTCCTCAATACATACACGTGGCAACAAGTGGTGCAGCGCAGTTAACAAAGCGGGTCCACCGTGTTTCAATACTTCCGGCGGGATCCCGTCGGCTCCGGCACATTTGCTGTTTCGCAGCTGAGCAAGTGCTCTCTGCGTCTCATCTAGTGTCGATGTGTCCTCTAGGCCCACCTTCTCCACGTGCTGCTTCAGATCTCTCAAAGTAGGCCAATCAATCCCTGAACAGTTATTGAAGACATAGTCGGAGTGCTTTCGCCAGATCTGAATACTATATGCAGGCAGCGCCCAAACTACCATCGACTAGCGTCCTCAGTGGCTATAACATCGGTCCATACACCGCCTTCAAAGAGTCAAAGAATTCCTCGTGTTGACAGCGTTCGGCATAGCATTCCATCTGCTTCTCCGTCCACCATGCATTTTTTGTGCGACGGAGCTCTCGGGTCAGTCGCCGTCAAAGTTTGCGAAACTGACTCCTCTTCCCCAAGTCACTGGGATCTGCCACATGTGCAGCAAATGCTGCATTCTTCCCCGACACCAATGCGCCGATCGTCGCACTGTTCTCATCGAACCAATCAGGTTGCTTACAGTTTGCGCACCCGATGATCTCCTCGGCAGCAGCTGTCACCTGGTCGCGAATGTGGTGCCACAGGTCGCCCACTGTGGCTATGCAGTCCACATCACACAGGCGTGCAGCCATCGTCTTCGCCGGCTAGGTACGTTTCGCCACAATACCGAGGAAGAGAATGTTAACTTTACGCCGTATCACGGCGGGAGTGCAATACATTGACTTATGTAAATATATGTACAGTTTGATCCGCACCAAGTTGTGACCAGTGGCACACTCAGCTCTACGCAGTACACGTGTCATGCGCACTTCACGCATATCACGCTGACGTACGATGACATAGTCGAGCAGGTGGGCGTGACCACTCGGTGGGCACGTCCAAGTTGCTATATCACTCGCACTCAATGCAAACCGAGTGTTCGTGATCGTCAGGCCGTGAGTGGCACACAGTGAGAGCAGCCTGTCACCGTTCGCATTCGGTGAACCAATGTCATGCGCACCGATAACATCTGTCCACACCGATGCATCACGTCCAACGCGCGCGTCGAAATCACCCAGCAGAAATAGTCGGTCGCTCCTCGGCACAGACCGTATCACGGAGGATAGCACAGTGTAGAACTGATCACGCGTGTCATCAGGGTAACACATGGTCGGACCG